AACTTGAACTGCATTACTTAATAAGAAATTAGCACAGCTCGTTAATAAACAGCGTTTTTTGATTGATCCATTATGCGATCCGTCTTCATTTGGCAAGTGCACTTGCGCAAAAACATTTTCCATGCTGAACTTTTTTTGTGTGGATGCTGCTGAAAAAAACCGCTTCGCCGAGACTTCAGAGACAAAGTGTGTTTGTTTCTTTTGTAAAAGTTTCCTGGATATAACTTCCCTATTTAATGCACAATTGTCCTTTCAAATTATATTATCAGCATTACAATGTGAGTAAATGTAGCCGTGTAAAATGTAAGGGATGATGCCACCCTTCTAGAACAATGCATTTACGTTTAAATTGTAACATATTTAATAGCATGGAATTAAAGTGTGTAATTAGTGTTAGCTCACTATCTTAGCCTTTAGTTGAGGTAGTATGATAATATTAGTGATTCTCATTTATCAAAACACTAACATTGGTACCGTTTTGGAGAGAAATTGGGTATTTTTTTATTTTATTCAACCCATCTCTTGGTGTGTGATGCTGAACTATCATATGAGTTTCTAAAGGGGTTTTTGAATTATTTGCACAGTTATGAATATTGATATTTATGTGCAACAATAACATGCTCAGGCCCAGTGGCTTTTCGCCTAATTTTAAATGCTTTTCCCCCCAAATAATATGATTTAAATGGTGATGAGTGTACTGATTTGATGCATTTTAAAAAGATGGATGATAGATATTCTTCAATCTTTCTTACAAAGAACAAAGTATAATGTGAATTCCAGTATGTGCATTTTTAAACTTATAAATTGTAGTGCACAGTGTTTATTATAAGGGTTAGAATCCGCACCTCAGTACTCACTACTCACTACTCTTGAGTACTTTTAAATAAGCTACTTTTTTTACTTTTACTCAAGTAGTTTTTTGGACAAGTACTTTTACTCTACTCACACTACATTTTTTGGAATGTAATGGTACTTTTACTTGAGTATGTTTTTTCAGTACTCTTTCCACCACTGCAAAGCGTTCATAATGCCATGCACCTTAACAAGGTTCCAGGGCCTTTGGAAGAGAAACAGGCCCACAGCATCACAGATCCTCCACCATACTTCAC